GCTCCACATTACTCGCCGAACAGGATCACTCAATTCCATCCCTAAATACACCATATCTGCAGTACACAGCCTGATGGGAGTCTCTGACCATGGAGTGTTGACTACACATTTGGCCAATTGCTCGCTTTCTAGCAAATAGAAGGTAGTTGCATATGCCTGGTGTGTTTTCTCTGTGTCTTCTGCAGGCAGATGTGGTGGGAGAGTGGGTGGTTAGAGCATCAGCAGCTGCCAGAGTAGATATGAATCTGCACTCTACTAGTTGCTAGCCACTGATTTTGGGATTGTGTGTGGTGAAGAGGCATCCTCCTTACCATTGCACCCTGGCCAGCTGCCCCTTTTACCCACCCCTTGTCCCGGCCCTGGCTGTTATATATTGCAGCTAAAATTACAGTAAAATAAGTCAGTGTTTCTCAACCTTTTTTCAGTCAAGGCTCCCTTTCAAATTATGGACAGTCTTGAGGCACCGCATTCTAAAATGGGGCACTTCTAGATTGCCTATAATTTTAAAAGGGCACCCCATTCTGAAATGGGAAAAACTATTCTAATACTTTTATATAATGCAGCAACATCCACACATATAGGACACCCAACGTTAGAAGTGATTTATTCTTCCAAAGCAAATACACTTTCACTCACTGGTACTGAGTAGTATTCCTATGTTTCTCTTCTCCCTCAGTTTTTTTCCATCACTAAATTAATGTGACCCCAGCACTGATGGAGAGGGGCAGGGGAAGGTCAAACTAGGATGCTGTGCAGGCAGCTGACATCCTCATCAACTGATGATGTCATTGGTTCTCATTGGTTGGCTAGAAGGTTGAATACGGCTGCCAGACTCATTCACCTTTCCAACCGCTCCGTTTCCACCACCCCCCTCTGCCAATCCCTCCACTGGCTTCTGATTGCCCAACGGATCAAATTCAAATCCTAACACTGACGTACAAAGCCGTCCACCATACTGCCCCGAACTACATCACTGACCTAATATCCAAGTACCACCCAGCACACACACTCCGCTCCTCACAAGACCTCCTTCTCTCTAGTTCCCTGGTCTCCTCCTCCCATGCCCGCCTCCAGGACTTCTCCAGGGTGTCACCCATCCTCTGGAACTCCCTGCCCCAACCCATCAGATTATCACCTACTCTCCTCTCCTTTAGGCACACCCTGAAAACCCATCTCTTCAGGGAAGCCTACCCCACCCCCTGCTAACTTGCCGACCTCCTCCACTCTTCCTACCACCCCATCCCCTACAGCTATCTCCTCCTGTGCCACCATCCCCTCCCTCCTAGATTGTAAGCTCGAAAGAGCAGGGCCCTCAATCCCCTCATGTTTTGCATTGTATTGGTATTGTTCTGTCACATGTTCTGTCCCCCTTTGTAATGTACAGCGCTGAGCGAACTATCGGCGCTTTATAAATACTGTATAATAATAATAATAATAGAAGGTCGTAATGGTGCACAATGAAAACCTCTGGCTTTGTGTAACTAAAAGTTAGAATGGTTCCACCCGCTGGCTTGTATACAAATTTTGGGCAATTTTTAGATATTTTGTCAAGGCACCCCTGAAGAAATTTCAAGGCACCCCAGGATGCCTGGGCACCAGGGGCGGACTGATCATTTGGAAACTCGGGCACTGCCCGACGACCCGGGACCAGTAGGGGGCCCTATGAGATGCCCCTGGTACCTTTTTCATTGGCTTTTTTGAGTTTGGGCAAGGACACAGGGACCCACTGATCCCCTATTGCCCGGGGGCCCCATAAGAGTCGTCAGTCTGCCCCTGGTCCACATTGATAAAATCTTAACAAACCCAGGGTATTCCTAATATATAAATACATAAATACATGAGTTGTCAGTCCTCCCCTGCTGGGCACCCTGGTTGAGAAAGGCTGAAATAAGTTATATACACACGACTTTGTTGGCTGTAAAAACTCATTTTTAATAAATGGTAACAAAAGTAAAAAAATGTACATATATAAGACAGGACCTTTTTATAATGTATGATTGTAACAAGTCTACCTACAAAAGTATATTTCTTTTATTTAGTACAACGTTGAACCTTCGTTGGCTTTCTTGTGTGCTCCTCATCATCTAAAAGCATGGCATGACGGCTTCAAAACAAAGTGCACTTCAAGTTTGCTGTTGGCTTTTTTTTTTTCTCTCCATCAACAAAAGCTCTTTCCTTTTTCATGACTGTTATTATTATTCGGATCTGAAAATGTGTTGAAACAGCTTTTAGCTTTAAAATTAGCCCAGGCGGGAGACAAAAGGAGAGATCTCTATGTTGGTAATGATAGTTATGGTTTTGGGATGGAGTGACATATCTTAATGTTGTGTTTCCTGGCTTGGGGGAGTTTAATCAATTTATCTAAGCTGCGCGGGGAAGTCAATAAAACGCTGGCGCTTTGTCACAACACAATAGCTGCAATCAGGCTGTGGAAGGGAACATGGTGCTCTGCCGGGGCTCTCTTCCTGAGTATTGAGCTCAACATGCGCCGCTGTAATAACGAGCGTGCATGAATGCGGGGCGACACAATGGTGTCGTAATTAACTCTCTCTGAAAGTGGCGTACAATGCAACAATATAAAAACATATAACGCTACCATTTTATTATGCTTGAGTATGGATCACCAGCTCACACAAAAGAACCTTCAGTTAACATCGGGAAAGGAGTATTATTTTGTGTATGCATGGGGAGAATGGCTTCATGGGAATATTGAGGGTAAGTAGAAAGATCTGGCACAAAGTTCACTGGGAAATGTTTGCAATTTGGTAGATATCAGTGAATTCACCTATTTCACCCAATCTGCTCTGGATGCTCAACCTTCCCTATTATGATTTAGACCTGACTCTTTTAGTTTTTACCTTCCATACTCTCTTTCCTTCCATTTATCTTTTACCACATTGGGTGGGTTTGCTAATGAGGTGTCGATATACCACTGATAATGGTTGGACTACACAGGGGGAAGAGGGGTTGAGGTTTTTCCCTCCCCCTCCTTCGATAGGAAACTATCTTATGCAGGCCATAGATGGGTTGAAAACCATCCGTTTAAAAAAAAAGAAAAAGAAAAATCAGTCGTTCAATAGGCCAACTTTACCACCAACAGTAAAAAATATTGGCCGATTTTCATCCCGTCTACGGCCGGCGTTTAATTACTTCTGTGCCCTGCATAGAGCTCCGCTATTATATTTGACATGAGAAAGTATTGCGGTTGCAACAATGTATCCATTTGTATCCATTTCGGATACAGATGTTTTTATTCGGATACAAATAGATACATTGTTGTAACCGCAATACTTTTTCATGTCAAAAATAATTCCTTCTTCCGTCTTCTTCCTTCTTCTTCTTTCTTCTTCTTCCTTCTTCTTCTTCTTCTTCCTCCTTCTTCTACTTCCTTCTTCTTCTTCTTCCTTCTACTTCCTTCTTCTTCTCCTTCTTCTTCTTCTTCTTCTTCTTCTTCCTCCTTCTTCTTCTTCCATCTTCTTCTTCTTCCTTCTACTTCCTTCTTCTTCCTCCTTCTTCTTCTTCTTCCTTCTTCTTCTTCCTTTTTCTTCTTCCTTCTTCTTCCTTTTTCTTCTTCCTTCTTCTTCTTCCTTTTCTTCTTCCTTCTTCTTCTTCATTCTTTTTCTTCCTTCTTTTTTCTTTCTTCTTCCTTCTTTCTTCTTTCTTCTTCCTTCTTTTTCCTTCTTATCCTTTTTCCTTCTTTTTCTTCCTTCTTTTCCTTCTTCCTTCTTTTTCTTTCCTCTTTTTTCCTTCTTTCTTCTTTTTCTTCCTTCTTTTCCTTCTTCCTTCTTTATCACGGCTCATGCGCAGATTTTTTGTTATCGGTAAAACGATCGGACAATTTGCCCATCATTGCCGGGAAAATCGGCCGATTTTTTTTCCAACTTTACCGATATAAAAAATGTGCCAAAACCCCGAAAAACGGATGATTTTTTTTCGGCTGAAAAATCAGCCGATTTCGACCCGTCTATGGCCTGCTTTAGTCTCTTATGTTCCTTTTTTCTATTGATGAAAAACAAACTGAGCCCTACAATACTTGGTGGTCTGGAGCATTTGGCCAATAGATCTCCGATTGAATGAATGACGATTCTGTTGTTTTACAAGTCTTCAAGTGGACATAGGTCCTTTCTTGATCGATGATCATTATTTCTGGTTGTTGGAGCCCCCCTCTGTCCATCCAGATACGATTGATCTATATTTTGCATGAGCCATCTGGGAATGTGCTGATATCATCAACTGGAATTTGTGTTTTGTTTTGTTCCCTGAAGAAGTGGTCTCTGTCCCATGAAACGCGTTGGAATCTTAAAACAAAAGTACTCATGGTTTCAAGTGGAAACTACATGTCTATATGGTTATCAACACCTATGATACTATATGGATACTAATTCAAATACAATTACTTGTTTCCATTGTTAGCCATGTACCATCATGTCCATCACTGTTTACAGCTTAGCCTTTATGTCCTGAGGCTATAGCTGTTGTTTGTTTGTAGCTGATGCCCATGACGCCATTTCCGTCTAGGACAGTGGTTCTCAACCTTTCTAATGCCGCGACCCCTTAATACAGTTCCTCATGTTGTGGTGACCCCCAACCATAAAATTATTTTCGTTGCTACTTCATAACTGTAATTTTTCAGTGGGAGGACTAGCGCCCCATCACTGATGTCAGTGGGATGAATAGTGCCCCATCGTTGGTGTCAGTGGGAGGAATAGTGTCCCATCGTTGGTATCAGTGGGAGGAATAGTGCCCCATCATTGGTATCAGTGGGAGGAATAGTGCCTTATCATTGGCATTAGTGGGAGGAATAGTGCCCCATCATTGGTATCAGTGGGAGGAATAGTGCCCCATCATTGGTGTCAGTGGAAGGAATAGTGCCCCATCATTCGTATCAGTGGGAGGAATAGTGCCCCATCATTGGTATCAGTGGGGGGGAATAGTGCCCCCATCATTCGTATCAGTGGGAGGAATAGTGCCCCATCATTGGTATCAGTGGGGGGAATAGTGCCCCATCATTGGCATCAGTGGGAGGAATACTGCCCCATCATTGGTATCAGTGGGAGGAATACTGCCCCATCATTGGTGTCAGTGGGAGGAATAGTGCCCCATCATTGGTGTCAGTGGGAGGAATAGTGCCCCATTGTGGGTGTCAGTGGGAGGAATAGTGCCCCATTGTGGGTGTCAGTGGGAGGAATAGTGCCCCCATTGTGGGTGTCAGTGGGAGGAATAGTGCCCCATTGTGGGTGTCAGTGGGAGGAATAGTGCCCCATTGTGGGTGTCATTGGGTAGAATAGTGCCCCATCATTGGTGTCAGTGGGAGGAATAGTGCCCCATCATTGGTATCAGTGGGAGGAATAGTGCCCCATCATTGGTATCAGTGGGAGGAATAGTGCCCTATCATTGGTGTCAGTGGGAGGAATAGTGCCCCATCATTGGTGTCAGTGGGAGGAATAGTGCCCCATCATTGGTGTCAGTTGGAGGAATAGTGCCCCATCATTGATGTCAGTGTGGTGGAGGGGGGAATAGTTGCCCCATCATTGGGGTCAGGGGGGGAATAGTGACCCATCATTGGTGTCAGTGGGGGGGGGAGTGGAAATAGTGTCCCATCGTTGCTGTTGGTGGGGGGGAGGAATAGTGCCCCATTCTTGGTGTCAGTGGGGGGAGGAATAGTGCCCCATCGTTGGTGTCAGTGGGGGGAGGAATAGTATCCCCATTGTTGGTGTCAGTGGGGGGAGGAATAAAGTGCCCCATCGTTGGTGTCAGTGGGGGGAGGAATAGTGCCCCATCGTTGGTGTCAGTGGGGGGAGGAATAGTGCCCCATCGTTGGTGTCAGTGGGGGGAGGAATAGTGCCCCATCGTTGGTGTCAGTGGGGGGAGGAATAGTGCCCCATCGTTGGTATTAGTGACACAAATGATGGGGCACTATCCCTCCCACTGACACCAATGATACTTACCTTGCTGACTCCTGCTCCAGCCTTGGCTCGCTCTCTCCCTCTCCCATCTACAGCCTGCATACCTGGCTGCAGCAGCAAAATTTGCACTTACCTGTCAGCTGTCTTCCTTCTCTGGCCTCTCTCTTCACTCGTTCCTGCAGCTCCCTCAATCTTCTTCGATCTCCGCGCGCTGCCGCTCGGCTCCTCCTCTCCAAGCTCCACCTCCTCGCCGGTGATTGGCCGCCTGTGTGCCTCTCCTGAGCTACAGTTCCGGTGGCCAATCAGCAGCGAGGAGGCGGAGCTGTTGAGCGATCCTGGAGGTGTGGCCAGGTTACAGGGGCAGCATATCATCCCGCCCACAGATCGCCTGAGACAGGAGCGGTGTCTCGGTTCCTAAGACCATAGGAAATATGTGTTTTCCGATGGTCTTAGGCGACCCCTGTGAAATGGTCGTTCGACCCCCAAAGGGGTCGCGACTCCCCCAGGTTGAGAACCGCTGGTCTAGGACATCAGCAGCATTTTATTGTGGCCAGGTCTCATTTATTGCATTCTATTTTACAGCTCCTTTCATGTTGCTGTAGGCCTCTTGGCAGCCTCCCACACCAGTTTTCTTCTTGTTCTTTTCATCCATTTTGGAGGGACGTCCAGTTCTTGGTGATGTCACTGTTGCGCCAATTTTTCTTCCACTTGATTATGACTGTCTTCACTGTGTTCCATGGTATATCTAATGCCTTGTAAATTCTTCTGTACCCTTCTCCTGACTGATGCCTTTTAACAATGAGATCTCTCTGATGCTTTGGAAGCTCTCTGTGGACCATGGCTTTTGCTGTAGGATGCGACTAAGAAAATGTCAGAAAAGACCTACTACAAGAGTTGAACTTTATTGGGGTTAATCAGGGGCACTTCAAATGATGGCAGGTGTGTTACTGACTCCTATTTACCATGACTTTGAATTTGATTGCTTAATTCTAAACATAGCTACGTTCCCAGTTTTAAGATGGTGTGCACACTTATGCAACCGCATTAATTTAGTTTTATGTTTACTCCCCCCCCCCCCCCCAAATAAAAGATTTCAGTTTGTTTTTCAATTGAGTTGTACAGTTTATAGGTCACATTAAAGGTGGTTCTGAAAAAAGTTCGGAAATGATTTATCTTTGTCTCATTTTTTACATCACAGAAACCTGACATCTTAACAGGGTGTGAAGACTTTTTATATCCACTGTATGTGGCATCCCCCTGACTCCCAGGGGCAGGTGAGGTACCCCCACAGTGGGCTGACATTTACTAGGCAGAGCAGCTTGTGGCCGATTTCCAGACCTCCATTAGCAGGCACAGGTTAGGCCCCTTATGGGCTATAAGCCTAACAGGTTAGACAACTTGATAGCACACCTTCGCAGGCCCCAAAGCCAGAGGGAAAGGGAGCCTTACAAGAAAAATCCCATATATTTATACTCTTTCTGAACATGTAGGGGATTAAAGAGGGATTAAAAATATTATTAACCCAGTATTACTGTGGCTCCTCACTTTAATGCCAGAAGTACCGGTGGCTGCTACTGGCAGAAAGCAGAAACAGCAGCAATACTGAGCTTAGGAGAAGACCAATCATATCATACTGGCTGATCTAGAACAGCTGTTTTCAACCACGGTGCCTTCTGGGTTCTTTAGAAGTGCCTTGGCAAGAATTGCCCCAAATTGTCCAAAAAATTTTAACAATCAAGCAAATGAATCAAACCTGCATTTTTTGTTGCCCAAAGCTGGAACATTTTAGAGTGCAGCATTACAACCTTGAGCACCATACAGGCCATATATATGCTGGCATCCTAAAAAAAAAATTATGTCATCAATTGATAAGGAGGACATCAGCCGTCTTCACACCATCATTGCTTGCCCTGCCCCTGCACCTCCCCATCAGCACTGGAGTCACGTCAGCAGGAAAACACTGGAATACTAGTCAGTACCAGTGTGCAAAGGTGTGTTTGCTTTCTAAGAATAAATCACCTCCAATGTTGGGTGTCCTACATGTGTGTGGATGTTGCAGCATTATGTAAAACTCTTAGTTTAGGTTTTAACATTTTAGAATGGGTGCCTTGAGATTGTGGGTACCATGGCTGAAAAAAGGTTGAGAAACACTGGCCTACAAACATTTACATAGGGGCACAATCAATACCATACCGGTCTTACCAAAAAATATTTTGTAGAGACACAATCAGTATCACACTGACCCAACCAGGAACATGTCTACAGAGACACATTCAGTACCTACTGACCCAACCAGAAGCTTGTCTGCAGAGAAACAAACAGTACAATAATGACCCAACCAGAACCATGTCCAAAGAGGTAAAATCAGTACCATATACTGGTCCAACCAAACAATATGTCCACAAAGATATAATGAATACCAGACAAATCCAACCAAAACATGTCTGTAGAGAAACAATCAGTACCATACTGACCCAGTCATAAACATATCCATAGAGTCACAATCAGTACTATACAAACCCAACCAGAAACATGTCCAAAGAGACACAATGAGTATAATATTGGCTTTACCAGAAGCCTGTTGGCAGAGATACAATCAGCACCATACTGATCCAACCATAGATATGTTCATAGAGGATCAGAGAGTACCAAACTGATCCAACCAGAAATATGTTTTTCACCTAGCAGAACTAGTCGTTGGTCCAAATCCCAATCACGGCACTATCTGTCTAGAGTTTGCATGTTCTCCCTGTGTCTGTGTGGGTTTCCTCTGGGTACTGCGGTTTCCTCCCAAATTCTAACGAAATGCTAGTTGGTTAATTGGCTCCTGTCTAAATTGGCCCTAGTACTGTATATAGGAATGTGAGTTAGTGATCTTAGATTGTAAGTTTCTTGAGGGCTGGGACTGATGTGAATGTACAATATATATGTAAAGTGCTGCATAAATTGATGGCGCTATATAAGTACTTGTAATAAATAATATGTCTAGCCAGACACAGTAAATACCATACTGACCCAACAGAAACATGTACATTGTGTGAACAATCTGGGGTTAAGCTTGGAGTTCGTGATTATTACAGGCCAGGTATGGTACAATAACGTTTTTCTTTGTTTCTGTTATAAAATTTTGCAAATTCTTCATAAATTTAGGCCAAAATGTATTCTGCTACATTTCTTTGGTGAAAATACCCCAAATTAGTGTATATTATTTACACTGTAGGAAAGTTATAGAGTCCACAAACTATTGGATATATCTGAAAATCGATCAATCCCGCTGAACTGACAGCCGATCTCATTTCTTGAGGTCCAAAAATGTCAGGACAGCACAAATACCCCCCAAATTAGGAAAGCAGACAGTCTGCAGCATTTAGTAAGAGGCATGACAAGTTTTTTAAGTTGAATTGAGTTTTTTAACCAGTTGCCGCACAGCCGCCATCTGGCTATAGCTCGTCCTTGCGGGTGGACGCTATAATGGCTTCCTTTCTGGAACATGCATTGCAGGGCTGCGCTGCGGCGAGATCTGTCACCGCCCGTGTACCTCGGACAAGGCTGATGACAGATCTGTGTACCGGCCCCCGTTGCCGGTACCATGAGACCTGCTGTGACCAATCACAGCACGTCACTTGACAGTTGTATATAATGGATGGCTTCCTTTCATGCCATCCATTGTATTCAAGTTTGTCTAGCTGTGAATGGTCACAGTGATCACATGCACAAGCTGGGCCAATCACAGCCCAAGCTGTGTCAACCCCTGAATGAATCAAGTTCATTCAGGTAAATGCTTGCCTATAGCAAAGTAATTCTTTGCTATAAGCAAATTGTGTAAAAAAAAAAAAAAAAAAATACTGATGATCACTTCCCCAAAGTAGTATAATGTTACTAAGGTAACATTATACTACTTTGGTCATAGTGCAATATAAAAAAAAAATTATTAACAAAAAAAATAATAAATTAAAAAAAAATCATTTTTTTTTGTACTGTCACCAGTCAGTGTCCCAGATAACCACCATGCCAGTTATTATGTACTGCACTGGGGACAGTATGTAAAATAAATTGTGAAAATAATTTTTTTAATTTCTTCATTTTTCCCGAAAAATTATGACAAAAAGAGTACAACTTCAAAAAAACTCGCCATGCCTCTTATGAAATACGTCGGACTGTCTACTTTGCAAAAAGGGGTCATTTGGGGATATCTGTACTGTCCTGACATTTGGGGATATCTGTACTGTTCTGACATTTGGGGGATATCTGTACTGTCCTGACATTTGGGGGGGACTGTCCTATCTAACTTACTGTCCTGACATTTGGGAGATATCTGTACTGTCCTGACATTTGGGGGATATCTGTACTGTCCTGACATTTGGGATATCTTTGTACTGTTCTGACATTTGGGGATATATCTTGTACTGTCCCTGACATTTGGGAGATATCTGTACTGTCCTGACATTTGGGGGATATCTGTACTGTCCTGACATTTGGGAGATATCTGTACTGTTCTTGACATTTTGGGGGATATCTGTACTGTTCTGACATTTGGGGGATATCTGTACTGTCTGACGTTTTGGGGGATATCAGTACTGTTCTGACATTTGGGGGATATCTGTACAGTTTCCTGACATTTGGAGGGATATCTGTACTGTTCTGACATTTGGGGGATAATTGTACTGTTCTGACACGTTTGGGGGATATCTGTACTGTTCTGACATTTGGGGGATATCTGTAC